CCTTTGCCCCACTCGGGGACAGTCCCCCCGGGCTGACGGCAGCACCGTGCCCGCAGCCCCACGCCGTGCCTCGACCGTGGCGGCGAGCCGGGCCACGCCACGGCCGGCATTTCCCACGGCAAGGGCCGGTTTGCCTCCCCGCGCCCCCACGTTTCGAGGCCAGTCGGGGAGGGGGGGCTGGGGGCAAGGCAGGGTCTGGGCAGAGCTGCACAGGGGGAGAAGGAGGTGGGCGAAGCCCCCCAGGGAATGAGCACCCATGCTGGGCGGGGGGAGACCTGGGTGCTCAGGGGTGGCCCTGGCATGTCCCAGCTGGGGCAGGACCGCAGCTCAGCACCGGGCGCCCAGCTCCAGGGGGTGAAGGAGAGAAGCCCCCAGGGACCCACCGAGGGCTTTGCTCCGGCGCTCGACCGCAGGGGAGCCAGCACTCAGCCAGCCCCGGGGCCCGGCGAGGAGCCTGAGCCAGGGCAGCGGGACCCTGGGCCAGGAGCTGGCCCCTCTCTGCCTTCCCATGGCAGAGCCCTCCTGGAGCCAGCCCAGGGCGGCGGGGGCCCAGCAGGAAAGCAGCAGACATCAGGATTTCAGTAACTCGCTGAGATCAGGCTGCTAAACCAGGGGAAGCCCTTGGGCCTCCTCCTTCCCCAGCACGGCCAAGGCAGGGAGCCAGCACAGGCACGGCCACGGGGCAGGAGCAGCCGCCCCAGCCCTCACACCCTGGCAGCTCCTGCGGCGTAGGCACAGCACCAACGCACCGCATGGAAAAAAGCCCCTAAAACCCCGGTGAGTTTCCCGGCAATCGTTATCGGCAGTTCCCAGAAGGGCAGGACCGCAACTGGCAGAGGGGTTATCTTGGAGACCTCTCCGAGCCTGCCAAGTGCAACACGTCCCCTTCCTCCGGCCGGGATGAGGACAGTGGCCGTGGGCACTGTGGCTGGGGCTGCGACAAGCGCTGGCCCAGGGGTCCCGTGGGCAGCGAGGGGCCGGAGGCTGCTACGGCGGGAGGATGGCCCAGCACCCTCCACTCCTCCACCACGTCCCTGCTCCCCACAAAAGCCCAACACAGCTGAGCTCAGGGTACCACGAGGTGAAATACGTGGGCAGGGGCCATGGAAAGAGTGCTTCATCCCCAGCACCTCGTGGCATCCAGCCCCCCTCTCCCCCGGGAGAGCATGAAGGCAGGAGGAGGAACCATGGCCTCACCCCGGGGCAGGGAAGACGATCAAGAAAAACCCTGGACTACATCTCCATTTCCAGGACTCTATTTGTGTTTGGCACAACATTGCAACGTGGTTTCACCCGAAAGAAAACCAAAAAGGACTCAGTGGGGCACGTGGTGCAGCCACGCCAGGTCTCACCCGGGTGACGCAGCCCATGCTACAGCTGCATCCCAGCCGCCGCTGCGGCCACTTCCCAAATCGCCTGCGTGACGTGGTGCAGCCCCTCGCACCAGGAGTGGGGGTGATGTTGCCTCGTGTCCCCTCAGTGCCCCCCTGCCAGACCCCAGTCCCCTCAGGGGACATGGCTCGAGCCCCCATACTGCTGGGAGAGCCAACTCTCTGCCAAGCCCCAAAATGCCCTGGCTCCCCCCCCTGCCCCAAGTGCCGGCTGGCCCCAGGGCCAGGGACCTTGCCCTGGCACTCTGCTGTCACGGGCCGTACCCACCCGTTCCAAAAAATGAGCTTGCAGACCCTTGCGCAAGACGGCACGTGCACTGGCACGGCGAGGAGCGGAACAATGCAAAGGCAGGAAAACACTGTCACCAGCCCAGCCCAGCCTGTGCCCTTTGCTCCATCCCTTTTATTACAGTGCCAAAAAAACCAAACCCCAGTGAGGCATCCCCTGAGCCCTGGGGCAAGGGCAACCCGCTCTCGGGCCACTCTCAATGTACCGTTACTGTCACAGAAAGGGGTGCCAGGGAGAGAAATGGCACGGCACTGCTCCGTGCACCTGGCTGGCCCCCAAGCCACAGCAGCTGGGCACTGCCGCCAGCCCCCGGGGAGGAACATAGAAAAGACAGGAGTGTACAAAAGGGTTACCCGAGGCAGAGCACGGGCAAAGCGCACCGTCACAGCACAGGAGAGCGGCTCTGTTCCTTCCTCGTGCGCCCACGGCACCAGGAAAGGGGACCTAGCAGCCAAGAGTCCGGCCCGCGGCACTCGGTGCCGGGGCAGCCAAGCGTCCCTCTGTCCCCTCTTCCAGGGTGCTGGGCTCCAGCCGCCCCAGGCAGCCTCTCCCTCGCAGCCCCACGCAGCAGAGGGGCCCAACCCTGACCCTGCTTCCCTGTGTCCCATCCTCGCTGCTGGCAGGGCTGCTCCAGGGAGCTGGCGTCGGAGCCGGCAAAGCCTTGGCCCTCTCCCCGTCACCTACCCCGGCAGAGCAGCAGGAGAGGGAGATGGAGAACAAGCCCCCGGCCAAAAGCTCAGCAGGCCAGCGCCGTGCGAAGGGCCAGAGAGGGGCTGGGGGAGGGAAATGGGACAAGCGTCTCTTCGTCTGCAATAGAAAGTTTTAAATATGCTCATTAAAATAATTGCTTTTAAAAAAACAGACTCCCCCAGCCCTAGCGGGAGGGGCCCCAGGGCAGAGTCCTCCCTCAGCCCCCGACGCCGCGGTCCTCAGGGACGGCCGAGGTCCTGAGAGGTGACGGAGGAAAGCCAGCGTCCCCGGCCGGCTGCTGTCCCCTGCCCTGGGCACGCGTCCTCTCGTGGCTCCACGGCTCCCCACCGCCTGCCCTTACTCCAGCCCCAGGATGTAGTTGATGCCTTGGACCAGTCCGATGATCACCGGCTGCCAGGCCACCAGGTAGCGCAGCCAGTCCAGCAGCTGCCCGTACATGACGTGAGGCCTCTCCCAGCTGGGCAGGAAGGAGTTAAAGAGCCACGGGGAGAGAGGAGCGCAGCCCACCGAAGAGACACCCAAACCTGCCATGCAGGGACCAGGGGACACAGCCCCAACCCTCTGCAGCGGTGGGTGCTGGGGGAGGGATGGCTCTGGCCAGGGTCACCTCGGCCGTGCCTTGACAAGGAGGGTCTGGGGTGTCCCGTGGGATGAGGCGGGGGCCAGCTTCACCATCTCCTCTTCCTGCGGGATGGACAGGACCTGCCGTTGAGCCGGGGCACCCATGTGATGTGCAGGCAGCAAACCCAGCAGCTGACTCTGTGGGGACTTGTGCTCCTTATGGGAGCATCCAGAGGTAGAAAAGCAAAACCTGAGGCACGAGTCATCCCCTGCAGTGGTGCAGAGAGGGGGACGGCGGGGGGGGCAGCACAGGAGTGGCTGAGCACTCCCACCAGCGGGCAGGGACTGTGGGAGTCAGCCATGAAGGGCTTCGTGAACATTTTCATCTCACCCAAGAGCCTCAGTGGCATCCGCAGCCTTCCAGCTCCCCCGACGTGCCTGCTGCTCTGTGCCAGGTGACGTGCCCAGCTCAGGGACATATTTTGCGGGGGTCTCTGCCACTGCTGTGGGCTGGCAGCAACCTTCCTGGGGTGCCAGGCAAGCCCAAATGAGCAGCCAGCAGCTCCCGGACACAGCCCTGAGCCCCTCATACGCTCTACCCACTGCTCCCCTTCACAAGGCGCTGGGTCTCATAAGGAGAAAGGATACGGGTTACTGAACATTCTCTTGAGATCCACCTTCTCTTTGCAGTATGGACACGTCTGCTTCTTCCCGACGATGCACCAGCCACGGATGCAGAACTCATGAAACCTGGAGAGCGGCACGTTAAGGGGAACTGCCTCGGACTGGAGGAGGGGGGGACATGACCGAGCACGGACGAAACCCATCGAGCTTAAAAAAAATTCAGCCGCATGCTGCTGTGCAGATGATGGGAAACATCCATGCTATGTAAGGGTGGCTGCGTCACACAACTGCAGCCCTTTCCTAGAAGGCGCAGCACCTTCCAGGCACAGAGGAAAGGGCTCACAGGGCAGTGGGTCAGGGCTATAACCAATGTATCAGGCACAGATGAGACACAAATCCTTCACTGACGGTGCCCAGCACACATGTTGCCCAGCACACGCTCACACTGGGACTGGGTTAGACCGACATGGGCGGTCAGGGCAGAGGCTGCAGGGAAGCTCCTCAATACGAGGATGAGAGCCGGCAGCAGAGGACTGGCAGGGATGTGTCTGGCTGTGAAATGCTGGGGCTTCAAGCACCGGGAAGGTTTGTACAGCCCAGGAGAGCTCTGCAAACTTGACTGCGTGCGTTACACAAAGCTCCTGCAAAGGCTTCTTGAGGATTAACAACGTATTTAGGGAATTTCTCCCAGGGTCTGACTTCCAGGTGCCAGCTATGCTCTGTCACGGCAGACGGGTAATGAGGATTCACCCAACCTGAGCACAACCTGGAGAGGTTACAGGGAAACTTGAGGTAGCGGCAGCCGGGGCCCTGCGGCACAGCCCTGGGGTGAGGCGAGGCTGCTCGCTGTGACAGGGGATTCTGCCACGCAGGAGGGTGTCACTGAGCAAACAGAAACTCCCCTAGGTAATGCCTCTGCTTCTGAAACCAAGGGTTAATGCCAGAGAGCAGCAGCAAGAGCAGCTCCCTCCTCTGCACTGGAGCAGAGGGCTGCCGGTGCCAATGATCCAGGGCTGCCAGCCAGCCTTCGCCCCTGGGGACCACCACGAGCACCGACTCCTCCGACAGCCACAGACCCCCCCGAGCTGCTGCAGGGTGAGTGACGTGCAGGCCCAGGCCCCACGCGGGGTCGGTTGCCAGGGCCATGCCAGTGTAAACCTCGCCAAACAGTTTATAGCGGTTAAATTTAGGCAGCGAGTTTCGCCGGCGTGACCTTTCCTCAAGCTCGGCTTGGAAACCACCTTGCAGCCAGAAACGCAAGTGGTGCCAGAGGACATCCCATCTCCACCGCTGAGTCACCGCTGGAAAAACCCCAGATCCGTCCCCAGCTGGGGCTGAGCAATGACCAGGACTTCCAGTTTCAAAACCGACTGCACCTCAATCAGCTGACAGGGAGGGCTGAGTGATTCCAGGGTGCTGGAAACCCCATGCACAGCTGGAGTCACCGTAGGAGTTTTGCGGAAGAAGGAATCTGCCGGGCTGTGGCTGGAGCAGACAGGGCGGGCAGTGACTGGCAGCACTAGAGCAGGGGGGCTGTTTTCTGAGGGATGCCGTGCAGGGCAGGCAGTGTTTTCCCCCCTGACTCTTCCCTTCAGAGCCTCTCAGCCAGGACCCACAGCGCTGGCTTTCCAACAAGGGGCCAGCATGATGCAGGCAGCCCAGCTCGTCTAGATTGGGGATACTTCACGCCCCTACCTCACACCGCTGGAGCTGGCACAGCGGCAAGCGCCAGGCAGACAGGTTCCAGCAGATTTGGCAAAGGCAGCTGGAAAGCAAGGTGCAGCTCCACGGCAGCACCGCCAGAGCCGGGGGAGCTGAGGAGGGGAAAGAGGAAACAACTACTTGTAACATACACAGAGGCATCGAGGAAGCGATTTCAGGGACACACAGGACTTCGCCACTTTCCATGCCAAGTCAGCTATGACAGACGCATGGATCATGTGCAAAATCAGCAGAATGGCCCTGCGTCTCAAGACAGGCGTTTCTTCACCCCAGGTCGGGGAAGCCGGGGGCAGGAGCATTCTGCTGCCAGCCCCGGTGGGGAGCCAGCAAGGCAAGGGGCTAGCTCCTGAGGAGAAGGATACACGTGGTTGCAGGAGAGGCGGTAGGTGTTCTCAATGATCCCTTCCTCGTTGACATCCACGAAGATCTGCTGACCACAGACGGCGCAGACGCTGTCGGAGAGGTGCTTGGTGGGCATCCCCGAGGCGCTGTAGAACTGAGCGAGGGCAGAGCAGAGGGAGAGCGGTGACAGTGGGAGGGCACGCATCCCACACCCGTGTCGGCACGGCTAAGCTTTAAGGAGGGCTGGGGTCAGCACCCGAGGAGTCCAGCCTCGGCCTTTTGGCCTTAAAAACCTTGTTACAGGTCCAGCTGCGGGAAACAACTACAACAGGACAGGGAGCTGCTCAGTGACATGGCGGCCCATCACACCCCAGCCCCACAAGCCCCTTCCCCATGCCAGGGACCACCCCACTTAGCTCCCCGACGGCCGTGTGAGTTGTCAGCTGCCTGCCAGGGCTGGTGCACCCGCGCTGGGGCATGAGGGCAGAGGCTGGATGTGACAGCAGGACAAGCTGGAGGTCACAGCTTTGACCCAAGATGACAACTTTGGGCTGGCAGTCAAATACGGCCCGAGCCATCGAATACAGCCCGAGCCTCCAGCCCTGCAGGACCCCAAAGCTCGGACGGCCAAGGAGTTAAGCTCAGAGCAGCCACCCCCCACCATTTCCAAGCCTGTTGGCTCAGCATCAGCCTGACACAGCACGCAGGAGGGTGCAGGCACACAACCGCGTCTCCCCGTGCGCAGCTCTGGATCCACAAGCTCCTGGGACAGCTGCAAGCCCCAGGTCACTCATGCCGCGTCCCAGCTCCCACAGCCAGGCCGGGAGACACAGAATCATAGAATATCTCAAGTTGGAAGGGACCCATAAGGATCACCAAGTCCAACTCCCTGCTCCTTGCAGGACTACCTAACACTAAACTATATGGCTAAGAGCGTCGTCCAGACACTCCTTGAACTCTGACAGGCTTGGTGCCGTGACCACTTCCCTGAGTAACCTGTTCTGGGGACTGACCGCCCTCTCAGTGAAGAACCTTTTCCTAATGTCCAATCTGAATTTCCCCTGACACAGCTTCATTCCATTTCCTTGTGTCCTATCACTGGTCATGAGGGAGGAGATCAGCACCCCCCCCTCCGCTGCCCCCTTGAGGAAGGTGTAGACTGTGATGAGGTCACCCCTCAGTGATGAGGTCACCCCTCAGCCTTCTCTTGTCTGAGCTGAACAAACCAAGTGACCTCAGCTGCCCCTCATACACCTTGCCCTCGAGGCCTTTCACCATCTTGGACACTCTGATAGTGTGATGTCCTTCTTATATTGAGGCACCCAAAACTGCATGCAGTACTTGAGGTGGGGCTGCACCAGGGCAGTGCACAGTGGGACAATCACCTCCCTCGACCAGCTAGCGATGCTGTACTTGATACACCCCAGGACACAGTTGGCCCTTTGGGCTGCCAGGGCACATTGTTGACTCATGTTCAACTTCCCATCAACCCAAAACCCCAGATCTCTTTCTGCAGGGCTGGTCTCCAGCCTCTCATCCCCCGATTTGTACGTATTACCAGGATTACCCCATCCCAGGTAGAGAATCTGGGACTTGCTCTTGTAAAATTCCATACAGTAGTGATTGCCCAGCTCTCTAGTCTATCCAGATCTCTCTGTAAGGCCTCTCTACCTTTGAAGGAGCCCACAGCTCCTCCTAGTTTAGTATCATTGGCAAAACACGACTCCAGCAGAGACCTGGCACAGCTTCGCTCCAAGTATCCCATGGAGCCCTTGGGCTGCAGTGCCAGCGTCTTCCCAGCAGCCCTGGAGCCAGGCCAGACCCTCGAGAAGCGCCCAGGCTGCTGCAGGCCTGTCCTGGGCACCCACCGCCTATGTGGGGGGAAACCCAAGCTCTGTCAAGGTGTCCCAGTGCGAGTGGAAGGCGGCTGGTGAGGGTCTGGGGCTCCCCAGTCCTGCCAGGCAGAACCTCCAAGGAGCAGCAACAGAAGGCTTAGAGAGGAGGAGGAAACACAAAATCCAAGACCCTAAAGAGCTGCTGCAAAGAAGCAACATGACCTACTCCACCAGTGTCTTAGGTCATGTATTTTTTGGTGGAGTCAGCTTTTTTGGTAACAGGTGAGTGGGCTACAGATTTTAGGCCACCACTGCAGACATGCAGGAACATGCCCTCTGTCCCCAGGGACAGCACAGGCTGCAGTGGGTGCCAGCAGCAGAAGGAAGCCCATGGTGTGAATCCTTCCCTGATGGCTGCAGGTCATGAGTTAATGTACCCACAGTGTGGTCCCAGAAACAGGAGTGCTCTTTGGCACTGGAGATTTTAAAGGCCCAGGTAGAGAAATATTTGTCAGAAGTTTAGAGGGGCTGAACAGATCCTTCCACTCCCTCATTTCTTGTGCTTCTGAGGATGAGAAGACACCCACAGAGGCTTTCCTCTTAAGGAAGGATCTCAGAGCCACTCTGTTACATCAAAAACCTCCCAACGCAGACACCGTGGTAGTGGGCCCAGAGAGAGCACAGCGAGAATGGCAGTAGCCTCAGGGAGCCCTTCCTCAAGGGGGGAGCTTGATGCACTTTCCCATTTAGGGGACGCAAAAAGCTACTGCTGCAACTGACCATTTCAGGCCCCCCCCATAACGGGGAGGACTCTCGCCTGGGGGACAGCACGGCATTAACTCACCCCGATCGTTGAGGCCATGTAATCTGCACACATCTCGGCAAAGTCCCGCTCCAACACCCCGTAGTAAAGACCGTAGAAGAGGAGGGAAATGCCAAAGTCCATCGCGTCTTCTGGCTTGATTCTACAACAGAAGAGCCCAAATGACATCAAGAGCTTTTTTGGGGGGCTGCAGGGGTGCAAAAGCCAGCATGCTGACACAGCCCACAGCACTAACTCCATTGCAAAAGTGGTCCACCAAGGCAGTGGACACACATCACTGGGAAGCATCACCCATAAAGGTCTTCTAGGCACCTGCCCAGCACAACCCCGGTCCCTGCTTCTGGGACACTTCACCTTGGTTGTCAACAAGCAGCATTTGAATGGAGATGTGGGTGTGACAACCCAGCTTTCTAATACCTGGTGCCCATCGCCCTCACCAGCCTCTGGAATGAGCCACTGCAGTAATCTCCAGCTATCTCATGCACCAGATCAGCACCCAGTAAGCACCCAGTTAACACTTTCATGTTTCTGCAGGCAGTTGCCAGGTCTGCTCATATTCCAGAGAAGGAATCAACCTCTCTAAACATGAAGCTGGCTTGGGCTAAGGTCCTCTACTACCACACCTGGGCTGGCTGCTTGTTGCAGGTACCTCTTTATCACGGTAGCAAAGAAAATCCCACTGCTGCCCCCAGGCTGGACATGCGCAGAGCTGGAGGAGCTGCTCACACAGCTGAACTGGAAGCAAAGCAGGGCTCTCCAATAACCTTGACCAGTTCAGGTACCAGCATCTCACCTGTGATCCTCCCAGCAGGGAGAAGACACCCCAAGAGTCTCTTTGGCCCCATTAATCAGACTGCTAAGACAACTATTTTTCCAGAGTTACATCCCCCGCCCCAGCAGTAGGACCCAAAAGATTCACTCACCTGAATAATAAGTTAAGACCAAAAAGTGTAAACATCACAGCCATGTACCCTACGATTCCAGTGGCATAGCTGATCTTGTATATTAGTAGAAACCATTTATAAACCAGCCTGTAAAGAATTAAAACAAGAATTTAACTACCTCATTTTTTCTGAAAGAAACTGCACCAAGCACCTAAAGAGTTTTACTTTTTAAACCTGGATGATGTTGTTTTCAGACACTTCACCTACCCACACACATGGGCAACAGAGCTTTAAATTTCTAATTCAAGCTACAGATCCGCCACTGCCATGGGCCGCTCACGGTCTTGACTTCCAAACTAGAAACCTCGGGATCTCCAAAGGCTGTAAGCAAGTGTGCTTCACACTGGGAATGCCCTCAGTGAGGCTGCCAGCCCACGCGGTATCTGCCTTACCAACACCCACTCGGGTACCAGGTGCATTGGGCTGGCTGCCAGCAGCCGGTTAGTGCTTCACACCGACCCACACGGGCAGCACAGGCAGGGGTTGCACACCTCCGGGGTGCAAAGTTTAAGACAATGATCTGTGGCAGCAAAACTGGAAAGAGCTGCTTGTAATGGTTACCCTGGGGCTGAGGAGTTTTCCCAGGAACATGTGTACTAACCTGGGCGTTGTCTGTACCAGAGGTTTTCGAGTTGCCCTGAAGGTGACAAAAGCTGTGACTGCTGAGAAGAGCACCCAGATTACCAGGAACCGCCACCAGTACAGCTTGATCGTGAAATACAGAGGCACTACCCACATCTGGAAGAGGGTCACCATCTGCAGGAACAGAGGAAAGGCATTTTGAGCTGGCTCTCTGCTCATCCGACATCAGCAACACCCTGCCAGTCCTGGCAGCTGTTCTCCTGCCTGCATCAAAGGGCCCTGAACAGCACCAGGAAACGCAGGAGGTTCGGTCTGTGGCACCCAGCACCCAGAGAACATGCTCAGAGCCTAACTGAGGGAGTTGGACGCAGCAGCCAGGCGATCTTTGGTAGCAAAGGACTAGAGCTGGAGGGAAAACACACAGGACACATCTCCAGAGGAAGGTACAGGAGATGATCCACCTAAGTAGTTGTTGTAAGGTGGCTATGTAAACCTTCGCCTCTCCAGGGTCCTGAACACTGCAACCACAGACACCTCAGGCAAGTATTAAAAAAGGAGACAGGCACAGCGGAAGGTTTCAGACTTGTCTCTGCCCTACAGCCTATTCCCAAAAGGGATCTATGGCCATGCAGCTGAGCTCCTCTAGTGCTGCTGGAGGGGAAGAGGCAAACAGGTTTGGTTTAAAGTTCATAGAGGATTACAGGTATTACCTGGAAACATTAATTACGATAAGGAAGTCAGGGTGAGGTTGGTTCAGGTGAAATAACAGTCCCTGACAAGCCAGTGGCATCAGCAAGTGGCAGGTCTGCTCAGCAGAGCCCAGTGGTGCTGCAGGAACCGTCAAACCCAGGGTCCTGGCAGCAAGAAGCCCCCATCGCTTCTGAGGAAGTGCTCACAAAATGCAGCTTCCCTTTGCGTTACCCTCAGGCCAATACCCGAGCTCTGCTTGTCCCATCACCTGGTGTCAAAGCACTATGTAAAACTGAGTTATTGGCATCACTTATAACAGAAACTGGAGGCCTCCAGGCGCATCCATCCTCATCCCTAGCTAGAATCCCCACAGGCTGCTGGGAAGACAAGGGTATCTCAACACCAGACAAGAGGAGAAAAACAGGAACATACTTCTCAGCAGCTAAAGGATGGCATCGCTCAGCACTCGCATCCAGCCTCGAAACAAAACAGCTGTGTGGGAGACACTTACGTTGTAGGAGCGAGGGTGCCTCTGTTTCCACTGAACCAACAGGAGCTGTGCCACCACTAGCGTGGCGATAAGGATGAGGACCATTTCGGCATGCATAGCCTCGTGACCACGGTGCTTGGCATGCATCCGTGCATGCTCCACCCTGCAACAACAGGGAAAAGGTGGCTGAGGAGCATGCGGGCACAGACCGCATGCTAACAGCACAGTGGGGCTGACAAACACCTTGGCACAGGGGAGGCAGGAAGACCAGACTGAGAGACACCATGAAGGAATGTTGTGGAGATGGGTGCTATGTTGCAATCCAGAGGAGAAAAGACAAAAGGCTTCTCTGAGACTAGCTAATTTTTAAACTGTGAAAGTGAAGACTGCTATCCAGCCCATCCTGGCATGAATGAGGCAGAGATAACTCAATGCTGACGTAGCTGAACTAACGAACATGGAGTGCACGCCTCACGTAACTCACCCAGCAGCTCACCGGTGCAACAGCATCAGCCGAGAGGCTGTTTGACACCACGAGTGTGCAGTAACGCTCAATACCAAACCCTCAGCCCAGCTGCAGAGCCAGCAGCACCATGCCCCCTCTCGCCCAGCAAGGGAAAGCCTGAATGGGCAGGATGGGCACGGTCTATAGCTGGCAAAACCCACAAACCCCAACAAATCGCTTCTCTCTGCCCTGCACAACCCCATTTGCATCCTGGAACAAGTGATTTCCAGACTGATGCTCTACAGACACCTGGGGTTTCTTTGCAGCTTGTGCTGTTTGACCAAAAACCAAGGCAGAATTAAGACCTGTAACATCCTTACATCTCGGTCTTAAGCTGCCAAGACAGTTCAAGTTAAGAGAAAAAACATCCAAACCCAACAAATATGCCAAATTCTCTGATCTTAAGTCATCCTCTTTAAATTAATACTGAGAGAAGACCAGTCTTAGCGTGCTTTTCAACAAGTGTCTAGCTGAAATTGGTTTGGCTAAGGGAAAAGGAGGAATATTTAGTAAGCAGTTTAAAAGAAAAAATATTAGTATTGCCTTTTAAGACAGTTCATACTTCCCCCTAACAAATAACGCTGCGCAGGGAAGGCTGACCCTGTCCTCTCCTGCCATGAATACGGGCTGTGCTGCTGGTAGCTCTGGTCAGGAGCAGGAGCTTGCTCAAGCTGTAAGCATCAGTTCACCTCCCAACACAGACTCACCTCCATCTCTCCTCTGGGGACAGGTGTGAAAGATCGACCTAGGGAGAAAAAAAAAAAAACCAAACAAAGAAATCAGCCACTGTAGTTCGGGAGCAGCGGTACCAGCCTAGAATGGATAACTTAATTTACTCCACCTCCTCAAACAGCGCAGGTGCTGGTTTATGACCCACACGAGCAAGGCTGTGCTGCGTGTCTACAACGCCTGTTCACTGTGAGTAACCCTGACATGGCACCCGGCTCCTTTATCTCCTGGTGAGACCCAATCAGTGCTGACGGCAGCGGTGGAGTCAGCTGCAAAGCCTCCCCGGGATTGCTCCTTGCAAACTTTAAGAAGGGAAGCCCTGGATTCAGAAGCTTTAAACAACAAATCCTCAACATGCCCATCATGACACCACAGCCCAAAGCTGTCTTTTGACCCTCCAGACTGTATGGGAAGAGCTGCAGAGTCCCCCTGCTCCTCCATCACCTGCAAGTACCTTTCCCCTTTTCCTCATGTATTTTAGTGCAGCCAAGGCTCTGACCACCGTCCCATGCTACGTGTACCAGAGGAACTGGTTTAAGTCCGAAGTTCACAACCCAGCCAGGTGTCTCTGGGCACAGAGGGGCGATCCCAGTGCACATCAGAAACAGGACAGAGAAGGGAGTCCAAAATGCCACCAGTCTGCAGGACAGGGGATGGCACCTGCATACCAGCAACAAACCATCACCAAAAAAATTTTCAGAACGAATCACAGAAGATATAGGACTTGCTCTGCTGACGCGGCTGGAAGTTTCTCCCAAGTGTTACGGGCAGCAAAGTTTTTGGCCGACACAAGCAACCGAGAGTGACGGGAGTTGTTGTTATTAGTGATGAGAGATGATGGGCTGGCATAATCTGTGCTTAACGCAAGCTGAAACTGCCAGGCTGGACTCAGGTTGTTAAGGACATCCTCTATCTGACAGGTTTAGGGGACAGAAGGAACATACCAAGTGATTTAAAAGCCCCCCCCCACAGAACTGCGACTCTGTGCTAACCTTCTCAGCTTGCAAGCAAGCAGCACCCAAACCTCACCCAGAGGACAAGCCTCACAGAATCCACTGTCTCCCCCAGTGAGATTTGGTGTGAATACTCTCACCATGAGGCATTTGGACTGGGGAGGAGTGGGGGGACCTTTGACATTGCATTTCAGCTTTCTCTTGGAGCTTTGTATCTTTACACAAGAGCTGAAGATGCCTCCAGCACCGGTCACGTCCCTGCACAGGCTCACTGGCCAGGCAGCACTCATCCCAGTGCCAGCACAAACCCCGATACACAGCGCTGGGGATGCAGCAAACGAAATCCCACAGCTCTGACTTCATCTCGCCTTTCCTTGGTGAGGCACAAACACAAATAAAACCTACAGTGGCTCACCTGGGGTTGGGCACATAAACGCATGGTTTTCAAAACACCATCTGGCTGGAGACGCTCCAGCATGGCCGAGGGGATGGGGACGGCACTTGCCCTGGCTGCCAGCTCTCCCCCCCTGCACAGCCACAGCTGAGCACATGGCTGGCCAGCCCTGAATGACCCATGCTTGATGTTTACCAGCAAGCAGGTATGGAGCCGTAAGAAGAGTGATCGAAAACAAGTCGCAGCAAGGACTTTGTTATCGTGCTTTCCTGCACAGTCTGGATTTGTGTACGCAGGAACAGGCTCCACCTCACTCCAGCCTTCAATGACCAGGTACGGAGCTGTTGGCTCGGCTTCAACCTTTACCCCCAGGGCTCTCCCAGGGACAGCGCGGCAGCCAGCCTCGCCTGTCCGTGTGCAGGATGCCGTGCCACCGCTGCCGGCACGCGCGGCAGATCCCTCGGGGCTGTTCCCCAAATAGGTGTCTCGCAGCCAGCACCTCCGATAGCACCCGGGCTCGGCCAAGGACATGCACAGCCGCCTTGCTTCCTCTGTGACGCCTAATTATACCCTGGGGTGAGGAGGCAGGGAAACACACGCATGGCAGCGATCTCTCTGCGTGCTGTTACACATCTGCTGTGCTTCACCCCAGAGCAATACCTGTGGGAGATTTGGTCCCCAAGGCCTTTGAGAAGCACTTCAGTACTTAGATAGATGCAAAATATAGAGCTATGAAAATCCCTGTTTGAGCTCGCTGGCTTGCATAGGAAACTGCGTGTAGGTGGTGACGATCTGACACCGGCTCCAAGAAGCACGCTCGTATCATCCAAATTCCCCAAGCTCTTCGGTTCCTAAAGCAGCCACATCCAGATTAATCAGTTCAGTCACTGCTTTCCCTTAAAAAAGTCAGCTACACAATTCATAGTTAGAACAACTGCTCTGATAAACAGTAAAAAAACGAATTTTAAAAATCTTCTCAAGTCACTGCAAGCAGGAGAAGCTGAGAAACCCTATATGCTCGTTGGCCCAGCTCAGCTCTGGCGTAGGTCGGTCCCCCTGCAAGCCCTGTGAAGTCCCTGAGGGCTCCCACTGCCACTCCCCAGGAGATCCCTGCTGCCCCCAGGCTCCACCCCAGTCCTCACTGGATGAGGAAATTTTACAGGCACAGACAGTTCAGCACCTTCAAAACACATCAATTATTTTTTTCCCCTTACAGTGGCTTCTGGTCACTCCTCTGCACTGCGCCAGTAGCCACCCCATCCACGCTGGTCTGTCCCACACGTAGGGAACAATTCTCAGCCTCTTTCCTTCAGCATCTTCCCCAAATCTACAAATTCTTCAAACAAATGAGCTAAAGCCTTCTCAGCCCCAAACCCTATGGAAATCCTGCTGGCATTTCACATAGAAGAGGGCTTCCTACCTAGCTGTCCTCCAAAGCCAACTGCAACTGCCACATAAGCTGTCCTCGCAAGTGCAAGAATCCACAGCACTGGACACAGTTTTCCCTCAATTACAGGGACTGAGCTTCAACAGATTCCCCAGAGCTTAAAGCTCCTGAAATAACTTTATTAAGGGGAGCTGGGACGTGGCAGACAGGACATTCAGGCAGAGACAGATCGATCTGATGACTGTCAGACATGACTTGGCAGAGCAGCCACCCCAAACTGGACCTTCCAGTTAACCCCTTCTTGATCTGCATGCTCTCTTACCAAAGAAATCCAGTTTTGGTTCTAAAAATGAACAGCAATGGTGAACCCAAAGGCGAGACACGGTGCCAGGAAGCACCTGCTCTCGCTGTTAAGCATTCGCTCTATTTCTAGTTTGGGTTTGTCTCAGTTTGACACCCCAGGTTTGGGTCCCCTTCTAACCCCATCAGCTAGGCTGAAGAGCCTCTGCTCTTAAATCTCCCTTTACCAGGCCAGAGAGGCGAGGGGTTAGACAAGAACCATGAGGATGACATAATTACCTGAATATATGCTCTACCAAGCCTTGAGCACCAACCCACTCCCACTGCAGTCTCCTCCAGCTGGTGATACCTGCACAGGACTCACTGTGTGCAACCAACTAGAGCTCTTAGAACAACTTTTTTTTTTTTTTTTTAAATAAGGAATTAAAAATTATATATTCTGCCCTCTGTCTCCTCCATAACTCATGAACCACTCAAAAACCCCAGCCCCCTCTGGGTGATGACAGGGACATACTGGGTATCTATGACTAAAGTCTAATTCTCTCCTCAGACACAGTATCGTGGTCTTTGGAAGAAACTCATGCCACTCCCCAGTTTTCAGCAGGGACTAAGGCCCCAAAGCCACCACAAACCTGCGATCCCCATCACCAGGATAGTCAAGAGAATTACCTCCCTCTAGGAAAATGCAAAGGATGCTGCTACCTGTAATACTAAACCCGTAACTGCCTGTTTCTTGCAGTCCAGAAGCAGGGAGACAGGAGGATCTCCAGGCACACGTACCAATCACTCTGCTGCAAGCCAGTTGTAATCTCCTTACACTCTAAATCTGGGAAGGAGGTAAGGAGAACATCTAGAGGATGGAGAATAAGCAGCTGCTGATTTCAGTTCCAGGCTACAGACCAGCCTACAGCTCATGTTGTGCAGCTCCGCAGTATTTTGGCCATCGAAATCAACAGCGTCCAGCATCTGCTATGCACAGCCCTGGGCAGAGGCAGAAGAGAGCTGAGGATCTGGGACACCGGGGACCTGATCTCACCTTTCCCAACCTCAGTTTTGTTTCACATCACCCACTAGGAACAACCTGAAATAACTGGAAGATAAATCTCTGAGAGTCTGGCCATTCACCCAAGGCAGATTTTGAAGAGGCAGGCTCTTTAGTGAAAGTCTCAGGAAATTTTGGAATCTCAATTCCTTGTTTATTTTGCTCATAAAAGAGCGTGGTAACAACCAGCAGGGAGTAGAAAGGCCCTGACTGATCAAACGCTTCGATAATTGTAAATGAAACCTTTGACGACAGCCTGAGTTACAAACAGGCAGAGCCAAAGCCACATGACACTCAGCATTTATCCCACATGGGTGCACCAAGTGAAACGTTAAACCGCTTTCAGATCTGCACCATGCACTGGCCCCACCGTTAATGGTTCGTCAGTGACATGCTCAGCCCAAAGAGCTGCCAAGATCTCAGGACAACACAACCATTCGGATTTTGTCCCAGCAGACGTGGATTTTGTGGAATCACAGCACAGGGATAAGCACAGCCCTGGTACCCCTCCTTATCAGCTGCCTCCTCGCGATGCCCCCTCTGTCCCCCTCAGCCAGCCCCAAAAGCGGTTTCCTGCCGGACTGAAAAACAGGAATTTCACTTTTGAGGGTCAGAGACTTCAGATCTTCCACATTTATAAAGGGAAGAGGTTTCCCATCTGCTGCTGGCACTAAACTAAGGAGCTCACAAGTGCAACAGTTTACTATTTGCTTACTAGCTTGCCTTAAGTCTCACTTATCACGATGGAAGAGATTCACAGGAGGATGCCAGGCTCGCCTGTTCAGAGCCAGGCTCGGAGAGGCTGGTTCCAGCGTGCACAGCTACACCTTGGTGTTCTTCAAAGCCTGGCGGGAAAAACACCTCTCTGGCATAAAAAGCCACCAGCCAATATCTTTAAATATAACAAGCAGCAACTCAAGAGCGACTGATTTGTGCTTTAAGATGTTCAGTCACTGGATTTGAGGCTGAATCCTCCTGTCACCCCACTGTACCTGCTCCTCGGCAGCAACACACGGTGCAGGGAGGATGCACACGCGCTTCCTGGGCTTCAGGCAGACGGTTTCACCTCGCTCGCACAGCTCAGCTGTACACGAGGGAAGCTCCACAACTTGACCCTGCCAGTAAATTTCCCAAATACAACCTTCAGCACCTGAGAATTTTTAAGCCAAACTACCAGTTCTTGAGGAAAAGCACCGAAACCCACCCTGACTGCACCAGCTGACCATCTTGTCTGCCCCGTGCCACTGCTCCCAGGGCACAGGCAGCACTGCCAGCTGCACACACACAGAACTACTCTATAAGCAGAAGGAAAGCTCTTGAGCACGAAGCACAGGTGATGGCAAAGAGCTGCGGCAAAGCCTGGGACAGCAGTGCCATTAGAGTGCTGCGGTATGGCGGCAGACGCACACGCCACACTCCAGCTGCGCAGAAGCAGGCGAGCCCCTGCTCCCAGTTCCAGCTTTCCGAGCAGATTTTTTTTTTTTCCCTCCAGCTTTGCAATTTTTCATCTCTGCAATTTTTCATCTCCAGGAACACCTGAACGCCAGCACGGGAACTTCGATTAAAGGCCTCTGTTTCCCAAGAGCAACAAGAGCTACTAATTATCTCGGCGTGGAAGTTTGCATGGCACAGCACCAAGGTGACAGGCTGAACGTTACCCGCGCCGCCGGTGGCCGAGGGCACCCTGAGGAGCCCCATGTGCTCCCATATTCTCCGAAATGCAAATCCCACCCTGGTCCTGCGTGGCTTTTCCAGCAACGAGTTTTGCAGTCAGGGAATGAATTAAGAGCAGAGGTGCTGAAGGGCCCAACTGGTGTTTCCAGCGCGCCTCTTCACCCACATGAGCTTTGGGGACCCCGTCTGGAAACAGGCGCTTTGGCTACTTCAGGGATGCAAAGTCCTTCCGTGGGGTTTGTCCCCGAGTGCCTCGGTGTGCAATTACCCACAACATCCCCAACCGCCCTTTCCTCACACAACTCAAAGGCTGTTTCTGAGCACCCCCTCCTCCCCCCTGCTCCCCACAGCCTCCTCTGGCCACCTCCAGCCAATTCCTCCAT